GTCTTTGTCCTGCAGGTTTTATCCAGCTCCCGACGTCCGGGCGCATCTACAAAGTGCCGAGCACGAGCAGCGAGGAGATCTGGCTGTGAGACACGGTGCCCGTGAGCCAGGGCTGCCCGGTCCCAGGTACGTACCAGCCCCTGGCAAAGAGCAGCCGGGGTGCTGGGGGGCTGTGCTGGGTGCTGGGCACTGCCCAGCCCAGCTGTATGTTGAGCTACATGCAGCAGGGCTCAGTCGCTGCACCGTTAGTCAAGGCATGTTTTTATGTAGCCTGTGGGCTTTACAAATAGACTAATCAAGATGCACCGAAGCTGTTTATAGCCGGACTCTGACAAGGTGCGGCGATTCCTGGGCTCAGGCCCAGCACCAGCCTCGCTTTAGCAGGTCCATGACCTCCCTGCTCCTCCCAGATCTGCGGCAGCATGGCAGGGGCTGGAGAGAGCTGCCCCAACAGCAATAAACTAAGCTGCAGTGTCTGTGTGGTGCCGCGCTGGTTATTTCTCCTGGGCGGTAGCTAAAGGGGCTTGAAAATAGAAAAAGGGGCTCAGTAACGCGGGGCAGAAGAGATTTGAGATCCCCAGGGTGCATCAGACCCTTGAGCACACTGGGCAGATCTGAGGGTTGTGTTTGAGCACAGAATTTATTCCCACTTGCTGCAGCACCCGTAGTGTGCGCTGGAGGAGCCTCTGCTCCACAGCATCCGCCGCACAGGGAGCCCAGCATCAGGAAGAGCTGGTTTCATGCTGAACCTGGGGGACAAGTCACAAACGGAGCTCCTGCAGTACATCCCGTGAGTCCAGTCCTGCTCTACGGATGCGGAACGGCTCAGCAGCATCTGGAAAACCAGGGAGGCTTTTGAAGCGTTGTGTGTTGCTTCACAGGCTGCTTTGGTCAAGTCTTGATGTTCAGGGGCAACGTTGAACCGGGAGATGAGGGTTGAATGTGAAGCTTCAAGTAAAGCTTAACACTTCTGCGTCTGCCACTTGTGAAGGTGGGTTGGAGGGCGGGCTCCTCTTCTCCTTCCCATCAGCCAGGGTCTTGAAATGCTGCAGGGGAAAGAACACATTAGTGCAAAGATTTGACTCCCATTTATTAGAGCAAACATCTGAAAATGGCGCTTCTGCTCTGCATGGGCCCGACTTTGGTGGGAAAAGCACCATGGGCTTGTGCTGTGCTGTTAGAGAACACAACATCCCGGCCCTGCAGCACAATGGAGGCTCCTTGTGCGACGCTGAGGTACCGGGGAAAGGAGAAACTGTTCTCTGGATCCCTGTGCCGTGGCCCAACAGCCCCAGCACAGCCCAGCGTCAGGAGAGAGCAGCCACTCACCTGCGAGTTCTTGAACTCCGAGTAGAGGGAGAAGAGGACGTGCAGAGGCTGGATCCGACTCTTGTACACGGGGATGTCCAGAAGGGCTGCGAGCAAGAGCAGAGCTGCCAGACTACCCCGGAGCATCCCAACACCCACCCGACCAGCCAGAGCCGAGCCTACACCCAAAAGTCTCTCGCTTTAAGCGAGACAGCGCCAGGCCAGCAGCACGCCGTCTCCCTCACTTACCACAGATCATGTCGACGTATTCAGGCAGGTCACAGCCCATCTCCGCTGTCGGGAGGCCCACCTGCAACAGATGGGGCTGTCACCCCCGCCCCCGCACGGCCAGAGAGCAGGCGCTGATCTCGGGCTGAGCACCAAGGCTGCCGGGGCAGCAGCCGGGAATTCGGGCGTTGGGCTGCTCCCCGTCTTCTGGCATGGGAGGAGTGGTGAGTGGAAACGGGCTGGGCTGCGGGCAAAGGGCTCGAATTGGAATGGGAGCCCAGCTTTCGTGGAAGGGGGTTTCTAATTCTGCACACGGAGCTTACCGCTCCCACAACGCACCTTTCCCAGGAGCTCTTCAAACTCCGGTGACCATTCCTGCATGAGGGTCTCTATGTCAGGCATGGGCCTGCCAGGGAAGGAGAGAACAGAACCTTCAGGATCACACACAACTGAAACGGCGTCTGCTGCCAGCTGCGGTGAAGGGGACAGCCGCTGTTCTCACCAGCTGAGAGCGAGCTGCACGTCTGCCAAGGGCCAAGGCGGGGGTTTTAATTTATCAAAACAAGCCGGAGCTGGCTAAGCAGCAAGTTCTCCGTGCCGGCTGTTGAACTAATGTAAGTGATGTACATGTTCTCGCTCTCAAAGAGATTGTGACAGTTTCACTTGGCACTCCCAGACCCTGCTACGAGCTTCCAACTGCCCCGAGCGGACGCTGGACGAGTGTGTGTGGAGGAGAGTGGAGGTAAGGGCTCACCTGCTGTAGTGGACGGTGGCGGGAGGTTTGCAGCGGTGCAGCTCGCTGATACTTTCAATCCAGTTCTCAATGGCTTTGGGGTTCTTCTCTGCATTCTCCACACTCTTCACCTTGATCTGCTGCTAAAAACAGAAATAGAACCCCAGAAGCACTTTGTTTTGGGGTGTTTTGCAAACCCTCTGTTCACTCCTGAGTAACTGCGCATTTTGTCTTTTCCAGTTGTACTACAGCAACGGATTTCTGCAGACAGAGGAGCAGCTGGGGAAAACAATGCGGAGTAAAACCAGGTTTTGACAACCCAAGGGAAACAGAAGCTTCCCCTGAAGAGAAGAGATCCAGAGTCTGCACCACGACTTGCCTGAAGCAAGGCTGAGCTCCACTGCAGTTTGGCACCAACACGGAGCTGTGTGGTGCAGGGGAGGTGCTGGAGGGAAGGGATGGCATCCAGAGGGACCCGGGCAGGCTGGAGAGGTGGGGCCGTGCCAACCTGATGGAGCTGAACAAGGCCAAGGGCAAGGTCCTGCCCGTGGGTGGAGGCAATCCCAGGGACCAGTCCAGGCTGGGCGGAGAACGGCTGGAGAGCAGCCCTGAGGAGAAGGACTTGGGGGTGTCGGGAGATGGAAAACAGGAGCCAGCAGAGTGTGGAGTTGGGGGCGTGGCAAAGAGACTACAGTCTAGCTCGCTTGTTGGTTCTAGAGCAGGTTCCAGCTTGTTGGTTATAGTCCAGGGTCTAGACCTAATTCTAGTTCACATTGTGGTTCTGGATAACTTTGTGGTTCCAGAGCTGCTTCTAGAGTTGCTTCTAGTTCACATCTTTGATTCTAATGCTGATTCTAGGTAAATTTGTGGTTCTAGACAGCATCCTAGATCAGTTTTTTGTTCCAGAGGGGTTTCCAGGCTGGCTCTGGGCTCCATTGGGTTCTGAGGGGCAGGACCCAGTTCAGGCAGCTGTTTTGGCATCTCACCAGGATCTGGAATACTTGCTGCTGCTGCTGAGAGCACCCTCACTGGGGTTTTTTCCTTTCTTAGTTTATTTTTTTCCCTTGCATGCAGATTTACTTCTTTGTGGCAACCTGAGCTAGTGGGAGGTGTCCCTGCCCATGGCAGGGGGTGGGACTGGATGGTCTCTAAGGTCCTTTCCAGCCCAAACCATTCCATGATTCTACCTGTTCAGGAAAAAGCTGAGGTTTTTTCTGCTTTTAAAGCCAAGCCACCACTTGTCCTGCACACTGTAATCACACACAGGTAAGAGTAAAACACCACGGTTTGGCTACTATCCGTGCGCAGCCAGCGTGAGCTCCCCCTCAGTGACTCACCGCGATGTTGTGCTGCCTGGAGTTCTCCGACAGCCACAGGGAGAGCACGGTGGGATCCGACTGCTTGGTTGACGGTTCGTCCAGGACCAGCAGGCCTAGGTTATCGGGCTTGCCGTCAGGACGGGGAACCTGCCAGGAAACAGAGATCCTGTGCTCTAGGCGGGGGTGATTGTGTACAGAACAGAGCAGCCCCCCCAGGCCCTACGACCTGACCACCCCTCGCGTTCTGATGCTGTGGCTCTTTTTGGGTTTGTGTGGCAGGAGCTACAGAGGACCCTGAAGCAATTGTACCTTTAGGAACGCATCAATGTCTCCAACTGCGGGAATAAAGTCTGGAATGAAGGGCTGCAGCTTCCACTCCATCTCTATGGGTTTGGGAGTGTACCTGGAAAAAAAAAAAAAAACCCACGGTGCAGGTGAGCGTGAACTGTCCTGCAGCGGTTGCCACAACAACCACCGCAAAGGAGAGCTGAGAGTGGGCCAAAGCCGCTTCAACTCACCTCTTGATGTACTCAAACAGTTCTTTGATTTCAGAAGACACGGGCAGGTAGTCGTAATCGGCTACATTGAAGTCACTGAAGAAAGGAAGAGAAATGCGGGCAAGGAGGGCTCAGGGTAGGTTCTGTACAAGCACCTGGGACCCAACTGTGTGAGACAGTCCTGAATGGAGTGGAACCAAGAGGCAGTAAGTCCTCTTTTAAAAGGCTCTGGGGCCATGCTTTGCCTTAGGCCTTTCACTGACAGTTCCTCCTGATTATAGAGACTTATAGAGACTCGTGGGGGGATGTCAGAGGGTGGAGAAGTGACGTGGGCCAAGCAGGGCGTGAGGGCAACAGGGAGGGGCTGCAGTGGCAGTTCAGAGCTTGAAACGGGGGAAAAGGAGAAGGATCAGCAGGAGCCGCAGGATGTGTTTGACACGTTCCTTCTCCTCCCTGGGCATCAGGTGCCGGGCAGGGGGCTGGCAGACCCCCTCACCCCGCAGGAATACATCTAGATCCTATACCTTGCTATATAATTACAAGACAAATTTAATTCTATTAATTCTTCATGACAATTTAAAATAAAAAACTAAGGTTATCCTGTTTTCCATGCTTTCCAAGTGTTTTACTGCAAGCCCTTCTTCTTTTAGCTTACATCAGGAATAAGCTTTTCATATGGTTGAAAAAGTAGAAGGTGTCATTGGTAGTGATGTACTGTAGAGGGTGGCTCTAGATTTTAACAATTGAATGGTTTACCTTCAAATCTCATCTGTTGTTGTGTAAGTGACTCACTGAGCCCACAGCATTGGACACAAATTCCATTTATTTTCTTTTTACCACAACAGCATTTTTGTGACCTATGGTTATCTTTACTGCAGTAATTAGGGAAAAATACCAGTCTGATAAACACCCAACTGACATGTTTTGTATAAGTGCATTGCAAGTATTTCATTCAATAAAGTATGGATTGTAATTACTTTAATTTGACACCTTTGATAGGATTTGATTTTGTAAGAACATGGACTTTCTGAAGTGGCAACTGTTTGTGTTTTGTTTGGGATTTTTTTTTTAAGTCTTGCATGTTCTTTCTTCCAGTTAGATACTAAATGATTGAGTATATTAACTGATTTGCAAGAAATCATCCACATTTCAATCAGCATTATTGTGGTACTTAGGAGACAGGTAATGTAACCAGTAATCGTTAAAGGCTTATCACAGGTATTTGGGCTTTTTGTGGCTTAATGTGTGAAAAATTATAATAGCACTCTTGCTATGACATTTCAGAGGAGTGTAACTGAAAGCTGGCTCAGTTTCACTCAGTCAGAGTGAGGGTCCTGGCATCTGCCACAGGGTCAAGCGGGGCAGGGGCACCGCTGTTCCCCGCAGCCAGCTCCCCGGCACCACTCACCCCTCCTGCACCGGCCCCTGCTCCTCCGAGTCCTCCTCCGAGGAATCCTCCTCCGAGTCCTCTGAGTCCTCCTCCTCGCTATCCTCCTCCTCCTTCTCCTCGGGGCTGAGGCGGGCGCGGGGCACCG